AGCCAGACCATCCGAAGGCAGAACAAAAAAATGTAAGGCATGTCCTCAAAGCAGCCCAGACTGTGGTTCAGGGACAAATAAGTCAATTTGGCAAATAACATTAATGTTCTCATAGATGTTTTCCTGGCTGAAATATGTATGCAAATCAATTTAACAGTGGGAAGTTAAAGGAGGAAATGGAGATTATCCACAATCAAAGTAAATAAAAAGCCTTCACAAAGATGAACAAATTATAATAAGAAATAAACCCCTGAGGAAATGTGAATTATTTCTTGTGTAAGAGGGCTTCTCTCATAGCTCAGCAGGTAAAGAATCTGCCTGCAGTGCAGTAGGCCTGGGTCTATCCCTGGGTCAGGAAGATCGCCTGGAGAAGGAAATGGCAACCCCAAAATATGTATTCCACTTGCCAATGACATGAAAACATGTCAGTCGTAGCAAAAATAATGCAAATATCACTGCGAAGTGGGTTCCCTTTAGCTTCATGGTGTGAAATTCCACGCAGGCTATAGCCAGGGGAAAACAGAGCTTTCTTTTCTCTTGCTGGGATAAATTTCACCCTTCTACCTCAGAACCACTTTTCAGAGTTCTAGGCTGCTTCTTATTTCTTCCAGCTTCCTCTCCTCTCCCTTCTTCCTTCTTTCGACATCTCAACCTATAAAAGTAGGGACTCCCAGATGGGAGAGTTTGGGGCAGACTCCAGTCTTAGGCAAGGGCCTGGATCTTTTCAAAGCTGTTTTCATTGCCTTCAAAACCACTGAAAGCTCACTGGGATCCAAAAGCTCGCGTTAAACGGCTTACCTGGAAAGCCAATAGCAATGGGTGAGAGGGGGACACAGCGGGAAGTGGGTGGCTCCAAGCCAGAGAGCAAGTTTAGCAGGGGATCAGGTTTTTGTTTTTGTTTTTCAAGTTTAGGGTTTTAATCACATTCCAAGATAGCACCCTACAAGCAAGATGGTTGGAACTCATTAAACTCCTGTTGTTGTTCCGTTGCTCAGTTGTATCCAACTGTTTATGACCCCATGGACTGCAGCATGCCAGGCTTCCCTGTCCTTCACTGTCTCCCAGAGCTTGCTCAAACTCATGTCCATTGAGTTGGTGATGCCATCCAACCATCTTGCCCTCTGTCATCCCTTTCTCCTCCTGCCTTCAATATTTTCCAGCATCAGGGTCTTTTCCAATGAGTTAGCTCTTCGCATCAGGTGGCCAAAGCATTGGAGCTTCATCTTCAGCATCAGTCCTTCCAATGAATATTTAGGACTGACTGGTTTGATCTCCTGAATGGCCCTCAAAGCCACAGATGGAGACCTAACTGCACATTAACTGTAGAATCAGAATTTTAAGTTGGCCTCCAGATCCCTGCCCCATGGTGTTCACAGCCCGTAAAACTCCTCTCCCTTCAGTGTGGGGAGACCTGTTAATATGATAGGATCGGCTTTCCCTTGCTTAGGTTCCACTGTCTGACAAAGCTAGTGAAACAGCACTCCCTTGCTCACATTATACCACACATACCTTCTAGCAGCAGACTGGAGAGAGTTTTCTCCAGCTGACTTTTTTTATTTCAAGAGTAAATGTTTTTTTTTAAATTTTTAAAATGTTGTGTTGGTTTCTGCCAGACAATAATGGGAATCAGCTGCAATTATACATAAAAAAAGCTGAGCACCAAAGAATTGATGCTTTTGAACTGGGGTATTGGAGAAGACTCTTGAAGAGTCCCTTGGACTGCAAGGAGATCCCACTAGTCCATCCTAAAGGAAATCAGTCCTGAATATTCATTGGAAGGACTGATGCTGAAGCTGAAACTCCAATACTTTGGCCACCTGATGCAAAGAGCTGACTCATTTGAAAAGACGCTGATGCTGGGAAAGATTGAAGGCAGGAGGAGAAGGGGACGACAGAGGGTGAGATGGTTGGATGGCATCACCGACTCCATGGACATGAGTTTGAGTAGGCTCCAGGAGTTGGTGATGGGCAGGGAGGCCTGGCGTGCTGCAGTTCACGGGGTCGCAAAGAGTCGGCATGACTGAGAGACTGAACTGAACTGAACTGACCCCGTCCCTCCAGGGCCTCCCTCCCCTCCCGGATCCCATCCCTCCAGGTCATCACAGGGCGGCAGGCTGGGCTCCCTATGCTACACAGCGACTTCTCACCTGCAATTCATCTTATACTTGAGAGTGTATGTATGTTGATGCTACTTTATCCATGCATCCCACTCTCTCCCTCCCCCACTCTGTCCACAAGTCCATTCTCTACATCCACATCTCCATTCAGGAGGGGATCTTTTATGAAGGAAGAGAAAAAGGCATCAGTGGTACCTAGAAGAAATAAATCAGGTTAAATTAGTAAGTATAAAAGAAACTGCGCAGAACAGCCAGACCCTGTAGTGAGAGACAAGAGGTGGGAAAAGGAAGAGGTAAAAAGCAGAACTGTGGAATGCTTTGCATCTGTGACTTCAAAAGTCAGAGGAGGGACCTCCCTGGTGGCTAAGACTCTGCGCGCCCAATGCAGGGGGTCCCGGTTCGATCCACACATGCCCACTGCCATTGGCCCTGGTGCCCATCCCCCTTCATTTTGCAGTGGCTTTCTGGTAAGAATAAAACACATTTCAAAGAAGAAAACAGTAATGTAGGTCTAGACTCTGTGCAGGTTAATTGGCTCCATCTTGGATGGGGAGGGAGTTGTTCAAGAGAGGAGTCTGCAAGAGTTTGTGTTTTGGGCAAAGAATGAACAGAAAGACTCTGATTTGTGTATGGAAGGGAGAAGTTGGACTTCCGGGGGTTACTGACTTGTTGCTCCTCCCGCTGGTCAACCAGGGACTAAGCCGTGTAAACACATCCATATTCCCTCCCAGTTCTACACATCATCATCAACCTGGAAGGCATCATCATCTGGAAACGGTGAATGATCATTCTTTCAGTGTCCTGGGTAATCGGCTTGGGTCAGAAGCAATCCCTACAGGCTGCTGTTAGATTGCATTTTATTCATTAGAAATTAGCCTTGAAGCGATTAGCAAAGAAATAAATGGAAAAAAAGTTAACACTGGCTTCCACAAATTCAAATAAACAACCCAAATTGGGAAGTTTGCTCCACTGTGACAGGAACCTAGGTTCCCTCTATCTTGCGGTTCTTACCACGTGGAGCCTTGATCTCATGGTCCAAGATGACAGCATCTCCCTTCCAAGCAGCAAGATGAACGAAGGTTCTCAAAATGGGCTGCACAGTATTTCCACTTGCACCCACTGGGCTACATACAGTTTAGTCACAGGTCATACCCAACTGTGAAGGAAGTTGCAAAACATAGTGTTTATTCCAGTCAGCTAGACGATGAGCTGAACATTGAGAGTTCTGTTACCACAGAAGAAATGAAGTGAGGTGAAGTGAAGTTGCTCAGTCGTGTCCAACTCTTTGCGACCCCATGGACTGTAGCCCACCAGGCTCCTCAGTCCATGGGATTTTCCAGGCATGAATACTGGAGTGGGTTGCCGTTTCCTTCTCCCTACAGAAGAAGGGGAGCACAAATGTTAGGAGAATATTAGTGATCGGTGCCTTCCTGTCCCTGACCTTAACACCAACCAGACAGAACGGGGAAGGGAGAACAGGGAATAAGCATACAGCAGCACAAGTACTGATTTTAGAAACATCACTGCCCAGGCCATTCGAGTTTTGGGCTAATGCATATTTTAATTTTAATAGAAACATCAGTGCCCAGATGGTTAGAGGGGTCCAATGGATATGTTAATTTTAATGGCTTAATGCAGACCAAGAACTGACCTTTGAGAAGAAAGGTGTCTCCTGGATGGCCACTGCCACAGCCGCTGGAGAGGAGCAGGAGATTAAACGAGAGGACAGTGGGAAGGTGCGGGAACCTGAGAAGACAGGCCTAGGGCTCCTAGGAGGAGAGGAACTGAGGCGGAGGACAGAGGCACACAGACGTCGAAAGCAGCCAGCGTCTCCACGACTGTATCACACTTGGAGTGTCTGATACCTGGTTAATTTCAAGCTTCACTTCAGGCATTCTTACCTCCCAGAAACCAGGCCTCATCTTTGAGAAACACCAACAAGGATATCATTCTGAAAACAGAAGAGCAAGCCCAGCTTGAAGGAGGCCACCATGGCAGGAGTCTAAGGTGGTATTCCTATGGCCTCAAACAGCCATGGACCACACACTACACTAGCTCTTGTTTCTGTTTCTACCAATAATGTGCTGTAATCATCCAGTAAGTCTCCTGGAATCTCTAAACTACATTTTCCTATTAATGTAAGTAGGAATAATATTTCTGCCCTCTGGCCGTCTCTTAGAGTCATGGAAAGCGTGAAGAACTTTAAGTGCCTTGGAGAAACACAATTCGTCTATTACATAATTATAATATGCAATAGGTAATCTATAATAATACCTATAATTATACATTAAGTAATATATCTAAATATCAATTATATATCATATAAATATGTGTATATATGACTAATTATATTATACAGTATATAATATATAGTATATGGTATAATATAGCATATGCTAATTATATAATCACACAATGTGATTATCATAGTCATATTATGGTAAGTATAGCCATATAATATAATAGCATTATTACATAATATAATGTATACTTTTAGATAATTACATATTACATAATATAATTTCATAATATATTTATAATAATAAAATTATATATACTTATATTACTATATAGCTATACAATATAGTATATAGTATATTATATATAACATTTCTATTTAAAAATAGGAAAGTTTAGGAAATCTATATTACTATTTATACAGATTTAGACATATATATATATAATATAAAACAGTCTCATACAATTTACACAGCTTCAGCTATGAACTAGAGGTGTGATGGAAAACCTGGAGGTGGAAATCAAACTTGCAGGAGCCACTCGCCGACCCTGGACCACCCATCCACCCTCCAGGCGCCGGGAGGCAGCTTTCACAGCCTCCTTCGCGGTCCACGCACTCCGGCCCCAAGGCGGGCTCTCCGTAGCTCACCCCTGCACGTGCATGCTTTCGGAAAAAAGCCCTGAGCCACTGAAATAAGCTTCCAGCGAAAGGTTATGACTCGTACAGGGCGCTCTGTAGAGGGAGACCAGCGGTGGAAGAAACCACGGGGGCAGGTTCCGCCCCGGCTGAAAGCCCGTGGCCCGGGTTGCTTCCCCGCCGCTCCGTCCTCCCACCTGCTTCCTCTCCCTCGGCATCCGGGTCCACGACTGTGCTGAGCGATCCAGTACCCCCGAGCTGGCCACGGCCACGGCCTCCGAGAGACCCGGCGCCCCCTGCTTGCCCCCTCGCCCCATCGGCCCAAGGCGTCTGCGCCCACCCTGCGCGGGCCACCTCTCCCGCCCCCACGGCCCCGCGTGGGTGCTCCCTCACCTGGTCCCGCTGGGCTGACCCCGCTCGCTGAGACGGTCACTCACTCCTCGCTGTGACCACGGCTCGGCCGCCGGAGGAGCGGCGAGGCCGGGCTATCACCTGCGGGTCTTAACGCAAGACTGCGTTCAGCAGCCGCTGGGTCCCTTCTTCCGGGAGCCGAGGGTCCTCGCGCCTCTGCCTTCTCCTGCCGCCCTCTCCTCGGGACCTCCTCGGGGTCTCCAGTTCGCCTTCAACCACCTGGGTCAGAGCCAAGACCAGCACACGCTGGCCACGGGGCCAGGGACGCGGTGGAGGAGGTCACGGAGCGGACGCGACGGCGCTGACCCCTGAGCCAGTGGGCAAGTGAAGGCAGGCTTTGAGATTCTGCCCAGTGGTGGATGCTGGGATCCACTCCTCTTGCAGCTGCCCCACGTAAGCCTCTGGGTAAGTTTATCAAAGCCACCGCCTACCACTCTGCCTCTTTCTTGGTCTCTCCTTGCCCTCTGTATTCAGGTCCAGTCTCAGATTCCACCCAGGGAACGCAGATTTTCAGCCAACAAGACTGCAGTGCCCTGGAGTCATCATTTCTCCCTTCGCCTTCCTCCAGCCTCACATACTCCCCAAGCTGAATCCTACAAGGCCCTTCTCTGGTGTCCGAACCCCAGGACCCACACTTCCGGGAGAGGAAGGACCCCTACAGCAGATGCTTTCCAAGAAGGGAGGGAAACGTGCACGGGCATCTGGAAGCATCAAGCCTGACCCCCTCCCCCTTCCCTCACCACATCCTCCTTCCTAGGACCACCAGCTACCCCTCAGAATCCCCAAGTGTGCCAGACCTTCGGGTTACAAATTACAGATTCTTATTTAAACCTCCTAAGTGAGTAGCAAGTGTACATCCTAAACTCTAGAGAAGTTGGTGGCGTGTTGCCTCCAGAAGCTTGCAATCTATTTAGAGAGGGGAGAGTGAGCCGAATAAAACAGAACCAGAATGAACAGCATCAGGGCTATGACAGGGCAGAATGGCACGTAAGTCAGTTTCTTCAGCACCTGAAAAACTTACTAAAAACATATTAAAACGTTTATTTAAAAAAAAAAAAAAGCAAATCCAAACCATAAAAAAAAAAAAAACTTTGTTAGTAGGTCTGGAATAGGCTTGTGGTCTTTATTTTAAAAAATCCCAGGTGATTTTGATGCTAAGAGGCCAAAGATACAGTCCAAAGATACAGTCCAGGCCAAAGATACAATAGGTACCATAGATTAGTTAGCGGTTTACTATGAAAACTATTAATATTGAAAACTCCATTTTCTCTACTAGCCAGTTCCGTTACTGTACCAGTCACCACTCTAAGCAAAACCAATTACTCCATTTCAAAAAGAAAAATCAAAAACTATAGGAGAAGTGCTGTACTATGTGGAAAATCTCAAACACATTCCTTGACTTACAAAAGCAATCAAAAGAAATAAAAAAGCTCATTTTGTATCTCTGAGCATCAGGCAAAAAAATATATATATATTCACCTTTTCTTTGGAGGAATTACTAAATTTTGTTGCTGTGGGTTGAATGAGGTATCTGGGGCAGCTGCTGTAAAACTCAAATATTGTTCGCTTAGTCAGGCCTTGGAATCTGAAAGCATCAGTACCAGCCCCACCCTTACCATGTTTTCCTGTGACTTCAACACTTTACCAGCAGGATCCAGCTCCGAATCACTAGAAGGAAAGTATTCTGATAAAAGAAAACTATAATTTGATTTCATCTGTATTTCCAGGTCAAACAGGATCTTAATAAATGTTCTTTACTATAGGAGTAACAAAAAACTTTACTGTCAGTTGCCCAAATTATTTTTCCTGTAACTGAAAGACATGTGGAAAGAAAAGGAAAAACTTAGTTCTTTTAGGGAGATTCGGATGCATTTTTCCATTGATCCAGAGGTAGAGGAGATTTCTAATTTCCTGTGGTCTTGATCAATCTGTTCTGCCTCCAGAGCCATCAACCAGCCAGAAAGGAGGCCAAACTGCTGCCCACACCACCCAGCAAACTCTCCTTCAAGCTCTTACCAATCCCACCTGCTAGAATAGAACTGTGCAATTCAAAGATGGAAGAGATTGTGGTCATCCATCCTTTCACTTTTTACCAGCCTCTATTTTACAGGTAAAGAAACAGAGGCCCAGAGATTCATGGTTGCAGAGCTAAGGCCACCTCTCCTGGAAGTGGGAGGGGCCCTCAATCACCTGGAAACCCAAATTTGGTTGCTCCAGTGTTCCCCCTTTTGGAAAGAGGGCTATAGAAATGGGAGTGGGTTCCTCTTGCCACCTAGTCTTGTGTGTTTTGAAATCATCCATTAATCCACTTGGCAGCCTCGCGATGACAATACATTTAGCCCTGCTGGTGGTCCAGTAATACTTTGTCACTAGTGGGGATGGGGCTAAATGACTTGCAGTGAATGGGATGACTCCCCAGGGAGACAGAGGATGTCAGGAAGGAAACCTGTGCTCATGGGGTCACCATCTCCCTGAACAGAGCCTGGAGCTAAAGAAAGGACTCAGGAGAGCACCTGCCCAAGCAAAGGAGTAGATCGAGCTTTGGTTGCAGGCTTTCTCTGTCATGTTGGTTCAGTTCAGTTCAGCTCAGTTCAGTCGCTCAGTCCTGTCCAACTCTGCGACCCCATGAATCGCAGCACGCCAGGCCTCCCTGTCCATCGCCAACTTCCGGAGCCTACTCAAACTCATGTCCATGGAGTCAGTGACGCCAACCAGCCATCTCATCCTCTGTCGTCCCCTTCTCCTCCTGCCCCCAATCCCTCCCAACATCAGGGTCTTTTCCAATGAGTCAACTCTTCGCATCAGGTGGCCAAAGTACTGGAGTTTCAGCTTCAGCATCAGTCCTTCCAATGAACACCCAGGACTGATGTCCTTTAGGATGGACTGGTTGGATCTCCTTTCAGCTCAAGGTACTGTCAAGAGTCTTCTCCAAGACATACAGATGGCAAAAAAACACATGAAAATATGCTCAACATCACTCATTATCAGAGAAATGCAAATCAAAACCACAATGAGGTACCATTATACGCCAGTCAGGATGGCTGCTATCCAAAAGTCTACAAGCAATAAATGCTGGAGAGGGTGTGGAGAAAAGGGAACCCTCTTACAATGTTGGTGGGAATGCAAATTAGTACAGCCACTATGGAAAACAGTGTGGAGATTTCTTAAAAAGCTGGAAATAGAACTGCCATATGACCCAGCAATCCCACTTCTGGGCATACACACCGAGGAAACCAGATCTGAAAGAGACACGTGCACCCCAATGTTCATCGCAGCACTGTTTATAATAGCCAGGACATGGAAGCAACCTAGATGCCCATCAGCAGACGAATGGATGAGGAAGCTGTGGTACATATACACCATGGAATATTACTCAGCCATTAAAAAGAATTCATTTGAATCAGTTCTAATGAGATGGATGAAACTGGAGCCCATTATACAGAGTGAAGTAAGCCAGAAAGATAAAGACCATTACAGTATACTAACACATATATATGGAATTTAGAAAGATGGTAACGATAACCCTATGTGCAAAACAGAAAAAGAGACTCCGATGTATAGAACAGACTTGTGGACTCTGGGAGAAGGCGAGGGTGGGATGTTTCAAGAGAACAGCATCGAAACATGTATATTATCTAGGGTGAAACAGATCACCAGCCCAGGTTGGGTGCATGAGACAAGTGCTCGGGCCTGGTGCACTGGGAAGACCCAGAGGGATCGGGTGGAGAGGGAGGTGGGAGGGGGGACCGGGATGGGGAATACATGTAAATCCATGGCTAATTCATTTCAATGTATGACAAAAACCACTGCAATGTTGTAAAGTAATTAGCCTCCAACTAATAAAAATAAATGGAAAAAAAAAAAAAAGTCTTCTCCAACACCACAGTTCAAAAGCATCAATTCTTCAGCGTTCAGCCTTCTTCACAGTCCAACTCTCACATCCATACATGACCACTGGAAGAACCATAGCCTTGACTAGACAGACCTTTGTTAGCAAAGTAATGTCTCTGCTTTTTAATATGCTATCTAGGTTAGTCATAACTTTCCTTCTAAGGAGTAAGTGTCTTTTAATTTCATGGCTGCAGTCACCGTCTGTAGTGATTTTGGAGCCCAAGAAAATAAAGTCTGACACTGTTTCCCCATCTATTTCCCATGAAGTGACGGGACCGGATGCCATGATCTTAGTTTTCTGAATGTTGAGCTTTAAGCCAACTTTTTCACTCTCCTCTTGCACTTTCATCAAGAGTCTTTTTAGTTCCTCTTCACTTTCTGCCATAAAGGTGGTGTCATCTGCATATCTGAGGTTAGTAGAAGCCTGCAAAAAAGGAGGGGATTGAGGAAGGCTCTATTTACACCCTAAAAGTCTGGCAGGCCTGTGTTCTCCTGAGCTCAGGGACGATGTTCAGCGCCCAGTAGCCTAGAGCCAGCCTGGGAGGTAGGGTGCTGGCAGAGCCAGGAACGGTTGCTGGGCTGCCTCGCCTCCGGGTTCCAGTGCCAGCCGGGTGGACAGGCAAGGAGGAGGAGGCCATTTCCGGCTGACTCACCTCCTACACTGCCCCCCCCTCACCCTGCACAGGTGCTCTCCCTCCCCTCTGCCCTCCTCCACACCCACCCTTTTCCTGGTTTGGATTCAAACCTTAGCAACTAGCTCCGGCAGCTAACACCTGCTCACTCAAAAACCTGGCGCGCCGTCAAGGGACCAGCACAGAATCTACTAGCTTGACACCACGCCTTCCAGCGAAGCCAAGATGCTGGAGGGAAAGAGAGAGGACACGGCTCAGAGCACTGGCCCCTGGCCACGTGGCCGTCTCAGAAGCTCACATTTGCATCGGCTTCTTCGGGGCCTAACGCCGGACCCGGTCAGCAGAGCGCCCAGAAAACAGCTGGCATGCGTGCGCGGCCTCTG